ACTTGGTTTTTACGCATACTACGCACGCAGGCGTTTGACAGAAAAATAAATAAAAAAAATCTTATTTAATTACAGTAATTAATTACATAATTTAATCAATTTTGGTCGTAACAAATTTGCGATATTCAAGTGCACTAAAACTTTTCACATACAGAAACTGAATGCCCGAAAATTAAGCGTAAAAAATTTACATCATCCTCAGAGGGTCGCAAAAAAAGAGTACAAAATAGAGTCCTTCTTCATGAATTGTCAAATAAATCGCATTTACAGTTAAATTAAATAAACGCCACTTGACCAGAGGTGTCCTACTTCTAACACATTATCTATAAAATTAAAACGAAAAAAATTTCAAATCTACACAAAGTACTAAAAGGAAAAAAAATAGTGAAATACAAATTCACGTAAACTCAACCAACTCTGCGTTTATTCATAAATAAACCGCCAGATTTGTACCTAAAAAAATTGAAATAATTAACATATAGGGTGACCCAACCTTATTGAAGGTGCTGACACGGAAATAAAGTCTACGTGACGTAGTTTACACAACAATATGTTTATGCCGGCCCGTGTGGCGCAAGGAAAAAATAGCACACAATTCGCATAAATCAGGATGCGTGAAGTTTCCAGTCTTACAACATGAGTTTACGCATGGCACTTCTTCCCCCTCTAACCCATTCTGATTTAAATAAAAAAAATCCAGCGGCTGGAGATTTTTCTTAAATTTCTTGGCCACATTCTTTTAAGGTTTGAGGGTCGTCTCCAAGCTAATACAGCACTTCTATCCCAGCGCAAGATCTATACCCAAAAAATTCCTTGTGGCTGAATAATGATCTGCAGAACTTAGTCTAGAGCTATTCGATCTTTGTAAGACTGTACTGGATTCTCCCTTCGAGCTGATCAGCCAAAAGCCGAAATTGCCCTTGTGGTTACCAAATAAGGTCGGCAGGCCTGGCTTACGGCCCTTGGAACGAAATCTTCCAAACGATTCAAACGACACCTTATCAAAGTTGGGTCGGTCGGCACTAACGGAGGATTGTGATGGCAATCGAGTCAGATCTACCGATCTAATGCACAAACTTTGGTTTCCACCACTGCAGCAAGTGAAAATACAAAATCAATCTTTTATAGGAGTACAAACGCGTGGGGAAAACTGAGAAAGTAAGGGGATGACAACAGACAACATCTTATTTTATTGGTTAAATTTAAACGAGTCGCCGTTGTCCATGCGGAACAATTGGGAACGTGCAGGAATGTTTTCTTCAACTTTTGTGATAAATTACGCTTGTACTAATAGGAGACTATTATGGTTTGATTCTGTTTTGTACTATTATTTTCGTATTTCGAAGAGTCCACCAGGGGCTTACGATCAAATGGAAAACGATGATATATGATCTTATCTCTGCCATTATTACTCGTAGAAACGCCACGGTTTCTCTGAAAGTAACCGGATGAGGGTAATCTACGAAATGATTGATGAAACAGTTTTACCCTGAACCCTTAACGTAAACAAAGTCGCTTATTTCGCTGAACTGTGGATTCTATTAATTGGACTGTCAAATTCAGTGTGTATTTTGGTCCCTCTTTAGATGAATCGCTTATAAAATGTTGGCGTAGGCAGACAATGAAATTATTTATTCATTTAACGATCCTCGAACACCGTTCTAACGTTATTTGTACAATCTTTATTTCTGTATAAAGGGATGACTTTCAATATTCAGTTACAAAATAACTTCATTTCGCAGTGTAACAGAACGACTTCGAGCAAATTAATTTTTGCGTAAAAGGCTTTGGTTACGTAGACAGTTTCTCCACCTGCGGACTCCTAACCCCCAGAGGAATGTGGCGCGTTGAATTGGTAAGGGGCGTGCAGTAAATTTAAGAGACTCGTAAAATTTTTAGCTACTAATTTATATGAAATCTCCAGACAATGCGTTGACCTTCTCGATGTGTTAAACTAATTCTCCGGGTTGATCCCTAACTAGTCAACGAAAGAGTTAATAATAAACAAAGGGCACTGAGCATGAACATTGGAGAAAAGCTTCTAGGAGGTAAATCGTGACCTTTGGAAAGAACTTGCCCGAAATTAATTTCTGGGCATCCTGCTATTGTTCGCTCCCTAATAATAGTAATGAGTATTCGAGAGCTTCCAAGTTCCAAAATTAAAACTTCAGTGATGACCCTAGCTCAAATCCTAGATTAAATTTTCTTTTGTGAATAAGCGAAAACACCCTAATTAAATAGTCCTCCCTTTGACATCTCATTTAAACGCTCGTGCAAAATTAAGCAGGTATTCGCCTGATAAACTGTTAGTATCTCTCCAATTAACAGTCTTTAAGGGTTTCGCCTTCATTAAGAATGCGATACACGTTAAAATCGCATATTAGCTCGTGACGCCTCGAATCCGCCAACGCTCAAACATTTCAGTTTTATTTGTTTCCGTGGAGCTGATTTATAAGGATATGGATGAACTTTCCCAAGACGTCTATATTGGCTTTCAGATAAATTTCCTTTTCGCACATATTTGCATCCTATTCATTCGCTTTCGAATATTGACGAACCGCGTTATTTATATTAGAGAGATAATTTAGTTTTATCTGCCTCCTTGGAAAAAGAGAAACTGTAACTTTGTTTTGGGTATGCTCGCTTGAAATTTTTCCAATAAATTTCGTTGGATCTTTTCCAACCAGAGAAAATAATGTGAGACGTCAAAGTTTTACGATTATTTAAGAATTCTTGGACAATCGATACGTATGACAAAATTACGTGACTTCTGGTTTCATTTTTGTCCGTTCAACTTAATGGCATGAAAATGAGCTGTCGAAGTTCTCTCCTCGATTATTAGTTTCTGCAGCATTATTGAAAGTGTGCCAAGACGTGTTGGAACTCAAAAATTGTCTACCTTTAAGCTTTTCAGATAAATCATCCTCAGGTTTTTGAGGCTTACTATCTAATTGAGTCAATTTGACAAGTTAGGGGTCCGTTAACTTGGCCCTTGTCCCTTGTAACTAGGTCACCTGATACATTTGGTTATGCGCTCAATTGCGCCACTTGAATTAAAGCTAGCGCCATTACGGTTAAGCCGTGACATATTTTCAAAAAGTGGGGGGGCCAACTTAACGTTTTTAAAAGTTACTTTTTTTTAACATCTTTTCATACGAAATTGTACTCTCAGGTATGCGCTGAAATGCGCCGTAAAAACATATCTTTGCGCCATTATTGTTTTTGGTTATCCTTAAATATATTTGGGAGGGGGGGGGCAAGTGAACGGAATCCCCCATAACGCATTTTGCTACCGGTATTTGTGCCACTTGATACATCTGGTTATGAGCTCAATTGCGCCACTTGAATTAAAACTAGCGCCATTACGGTTAAGCCATAAAAAAATTTTCAAAAGTGGGGGGGGCTAACTTAACGTTTTCAAAAGTTACGTTTTTTAACATGTTTTTTCTACTACATCGTACCTTTCATCATGCGCTAAAATGCGCAGTAAACAAAAATATTGGCACCATTATAGTGTTTCAGAAACACTCTACAGGGTGTTTTTTTGGGAGCTTTAGTTAAACGATTCTGGGAAAGTAAAATACGTAGGTTTTTAAAAATTTGTATTTAGGAGTTACTCGGAAGGCCGAATCGATGTAAAATATTTTCAAAATGGACGCACTTCCGGAAATAACTTTTGAAAACACTAAGTTAGACCCTCCACTTTTTAAAAATTTTTTATGGCTTAACCGTAATGGCGTTAGCTTTAATTCAAGTGGCGCAATTGAGCTCATAACCAGATGTATCTAGTGGCACAAATGCCGGTAGCAAAATGCGTTATGGGGGATTCCGTTCACTTGGCCCCCCCCCCCAAATATGTTTAAGGATAACCAAAAAACAATAATGGCGCAAAGATATCTTTTTACGGCGCATTTCAGCGCATACCTGAGAGTACAATTTCGTATGAAAAGATGTAAAAAAAAAGTAACTTTTAAAAACGTTAAGTTGGCCCCCCCACTTTTTGAAAATTTGTCACGGCTTAACCGTAATGGCGCTAGCTTTAATTCAAGTGGCGCAATTGAGCGCATAACCAAATGTATCAGGTGACCTAGTTACAAGGGACAAAATACGTACTGGGGGGGGGGGCTACGTTCACTTGGCCCCCCCAATGTTTTTTCGGATTTCTAAAAAACGATAATGGCGCAAGAGTTATTATCGGTGGCGCATATGAGCGCATAACGAGCGCATTCATTTCAAAATAATACGACTATGAAATCTCTTAGTGGGGGGGCCAAGTTAACGGACCCATAAGTTTGTGCTCAAAAGGTGAAAGTATAGATCTATATTTTTCACCTTGGGAGCATATGGGAATGTTCAAAAGCGCCTTCCAAAGGATAAAAACAAAAATTCTTTTGAATTTTTTGTGAATGTTAGAGCCCTTGACGGTACTGAAAAGCCTTTATTGGTTCTTTAAGAACTTTTAATGTTATCAGTGTGTACAATGAACGTATACATACCGACGGCCAATTCTCATTGTCTAAACGAATTCGCCTAATACCTCCAATAGTAACAAGGATATCCTTGCGCGTTTTTGCTTCTTCTGTGAAAGTACGCCATTTGCATTGCATCTACTTGAAGTATATTTTTTTCTTTAGGTTGGCTGATATTTCATATACTATTTTCCATCGACGATTGTTGCACGTGCATCTATAATTATCCCTCTTATCTAAAGAACTACGTTTTGGTTATCAACGCAGAGAGTTACCTGTGATTTTCTTTTAGGGTTTTTGATTTTAGTTCGTTGCAGTCTTAATTGCGAATCCCAGTTTTAAGAGCCAGTTCCAATACAATTTGAAGTATAATTCCGGATACATTTTACATACGCATGTGGGAAACCTTGAAGTAAATTCACCGTCACATTCCTTGCGTGCAAAAATTTCAGAGGAAAAAGATTCAGGAGGCGAATTTTCCATATTAAAAATTTACTCCTGTACGTGCTGACTCGAAGTATTTGTTTTCAGATTAAGCCTGCCATCGACGGATCATGGCCGAAGCGTCCTTGAATGCAACCCAAAGGCTCGAAGAGGCGACCTTGGACCCGGAAAACACGTACACGCCCTACCCGGAAAGACCCGAAACCTACATTGTTCCTGTGGTGTTCTTCATAATATTTATTGTCGGTGTATTGGGAAACGGAACTCTGGTCGTGATATTTTTGAGACATCGAGCGATGAGAAACGTGCCAAATACGTAAGTATTGCCTATAGTTTGCTCTATGATAGTATTTCGGCCTGAAACTAACCACATAATTGCTTAAGCTATATCAAATTCGATGCTAGCCTATTTATGCCAATTTCCAACTGTAAATCCGTCAAAATCGCTAAAAAATTGCAGAGTTACTGTTAGGCGATTTTGATGTAAACGTTGACACATTTAATGGATAGATTTGTCTTGTTCAGGGGATGTAATTTGTAGTAGATGAGCTTTAATCTACTTACAAACTCATTATTTTTATTGCCGATAAAACACGTTTAACATGCGTATGCAATTATGTAAAACATTAATTTTCAAATTAGTTTCATGTGTTAAAAACCACAGACATACGACCCTTACACACTAGATCTACCCCAATCACCAAAGAGTGTCCTGCGTTAGTGGGAAAGGGCCTCGAAATTAGGTGTGGTTTTGGTTCATTATGTATCGATTCCTAGTAACCACTTGTTAGCCCTCCCATTTATAAGCCCTTAATTATTCTCTCTTGGCAGCTAATGGTTTTCAATAAAACTTTCATCGCGGAAAACATGAATTAAAATGTAATTTGTGGGCCATATCATGATTTCTGAATTAAAAATTCTGCAGTTTTTTCAGAATAAACACGGTCCAATCTTCTTGATTAACTAAAAATTTCAAATCAACTCCACCGCTAGGGGTTATAAACCCCCAAAGCGATAAATCCTCACCCCTTTACTAAAATAAATCACGATTTACAACCGGCCAATATCAAAAATACCTTCATTTGAAATACGTCGCATTAAACTCGCCCCCATTCGTCAGATTAAAGGAATACAAGGCGAGTGCAACTTTTAGGGTTGATAAAGCAAAAAAATGAGAAGGTCTTTATCTGTGCCAACTCACAGAATCTCAAAGTAGAGATGGGGTTAAGGAGATTAAGCCTCTCGTCCCCTTTTGTTGGAATAAATTATAAGACGAAATTTAGTAACGCTACCCTGATTTACTTTCAGGTACATATTGTCCTTGGCTCTCGCAGATCTTCTAGTGATAATGACCTGCGTTCCATTCACGTCGATCGTCTACACGCTGGAATCCTGGCCGTGGGGAGTTACTGTTTGTAAGCTGTCTGAAACGGCAAAGGATATCTCAATAGGCGTATCAGTCTTTACGTTGACGGCGCTTTCAGCTGAAAGATACTGCGCGATTGTAAATCCACTGCGAAAATTGCAGGTGAGTTTTTGCCCCGTTCAGTGAGACTATACCAATTTGGCGCCCGGTGTGGGGCGCAACAGTTATTTTGTCGCCCCGCAACGTGGGGCACTTACATCCTTACTAACAGAAAATAAAATTCCACTCATTTCCAGATATATATGACGTAATACGATCACCGTGAATCCTACTTGATTGCCGAATTTAATTAAGGAGCCCTGAATGATTGATATTAACGCAGGATCCTTTTTAATAAAATTAACCGCCTGAAACTGCAATTAAAACTTTAATTACGTCAATTATTCTTACTCCTTCGGTAATTTAATATCATCCAGTGAAGCTTTAAGTTAGTTACTTAGGTTGTTTGCGCTAATTAATGTTGTACTCTGCACGCCAATTTCAGTACTCTTCATATAAATCGGCATAATTTCTACGGAGTGATTTTCCTTCTTCCGTTTCCGTAGACGGCGGGCATGCTGAATCATTCATGGTCATTTCTTGGCATTATACGTACACGTTTTCTCGAAGAAGGAGCTTTTATGCGATTTTGTCGTTTATTAGTCAGTGCCTCGAGACCGACACGATTCTTGATGGAACTCAAATTGGAGAGTGGCACGTGATCAAGTTTTCCTTAGGCCTAATAGGGAGAATCAAAGACTAATGGTGTAATTCTGAGATCGAATTTGTTCCAGGAAATGATACCAAAAAAAGGTTATCTAACAATATCCCAAGGAATTAATTAACAAATATTAATTAACACCTGATGTAATTCTGGGTACGAAATAGCAACTCTTATTTAGGTCGTAATTTAGGCTAGATTAATCACAAAACCAATAATTTACAGATGAAATAAAATTCGACAATAAGGCCGAATGAGAAACAGGCACTCAGGGCCAACGAACGTGTACTACGCAAACATACGATCGATGGACAATTAATTAAAGCAAATTTTAATTACATTAAATTGTGAATAATCCAAAATTTCCCGTCGTAACTGCAATTTTCAAACAAACAAACGCCCAAATAGACATAAAATTATGATACTTCGGGACTGGAATGGTTCGATTGCTCTTAAACTTCGATTTAAACGACACTGGCCTCGTACATACAATTACAGTGTTGTCCCTTTCATGGAAGACAAACTCCTTTTGACTAATAACTTGAAGACCTTATATTTCCTTAATTTTGGCGGTCGCTTTAAATTTGTTCTAAATGAACATCTTGGGGGTCAGCGGGTCGTCATTGGGGTGATACTGTTCTCGGTGTTTCGGCTTCCAGCTTGATTCTTGTTTCCTTTGGTGGTGGCTTCCTTGCCCAATTTTTCAAGACCTCCCTAGGTTCTGTGTAGTCCAGTTTCGAGATTGTGAAAACTATTGCGCCGTGCTATGGTTGAATTGAAAACAGCGTATGCAGCATCTGCCTTCCCTTCAGGATCCCGTATTTCCGTCGCCCCAATGGGAATGTGAATTGGTTCCCGCAATGAAAGAATCTGGCTCTTAGAAATCCCATTGCATCCAGGAAGGGACTGAGTGTCTTATGTTTGAGGATTTCTTTGATTCCAACTTGGCCGCCAGTACTGCTAGTGTTTTCTTTAATTTCTTCAGGGTTACGTTGGACTTTCCCGTTAACCTGGAGGATTTTGTTGGCCCATTTCCGCACAAATATTCTTGTAGTTTTGGTCCAGTTAGCATAATCTCGTTCTGGTTATTACCTGAACTGCAACTGCCAAAGGCGCCAAGCACCACTCGCAGTTTTGTGGTGGAGCATTCTTCTTGTAATACTGCATGGAGGGGAATGTAGCATTTCCGCGCATTGGTCATTTTCCTGGGATATTGCTGCGTTTTGCGTTCGAACTTTTTCACTGCCCCACAATTTTGTCAGCGGGATGGATACTGGGCTTTACATGGGCACTCTTTCCTCCCTGGTGACCTTAGTTTGCCAATTGCTCTGAACCCATTCAACTCACTTTTGGTTTCTTCTTTGGTTCGCAATATATACGCAATATACCTCTCGTGAGCTGGGCGAAATCCCCGTCTTTTTATAAATTCCAACATTTGTTGGAACGTTCCTCATCCAGTTAGGCCCGTGTGTTCTGGATAAGATTGAGCCGATTAAGTCTCATTTTTTATCTACGGAAGTCTGGATGCGTGTGAGCCAAGCTGGGTACGGAAGGTGACTTTTCCCACGAGGTATCGTGGCCAATGGGCGTTCCCATCGCTGTTGCCCCTTGACTTGCCTCCTTTTGGGGTTGTAGTCTCGTTCGGACTCACCGAAGTTGCAGTTGACAGGGCGTTGTAGTCCATGACCCATTCATGGGCTTGCTTATAGGACTTTCTGGCGAAGTAATCATGTTCTGGCTCTTGTGGCAGGGCCATGATCTCTGAGCAGCGTTGACTATCCCATTGCGCTTCTAACTCCTTTTTCTGTTGATAACATCCTCCCTAGCTTGCGAAGATCCTCGTTGGATCCTCCCAGCTTTTTTCTTCAGGTTGGATAAGAATTTCTCCACGGATTTTACGAGATCTAACTGCTCCGTGGTCAGCTTCTCCATTTTGGGCCTTTGAACTCGTTTCAAAATGTTACTGGAACCGGAACTCATGTGGTAACGCGGCACTAACTCGTTTGTAGGGTCGAAGGACCAAATGTAGCATTAGGGTTCTAAGTCTTAATGTCATCCGACTAAAAGGACCAAATGTAGCGTTAGGGTTGTAAATCCTACAGCTCGCCCAAGCGTATATCTAAAACCCGGTACGCTACGTTCGAAGATTGTGAACTGATAATATTTATTGTAAGCGTTTACATGCTATTTATATCACAGATAGGATTTCCTTAACCTACGTTAATTACGTTAGTATTAATGCAGGAGAGGTTTTGGGGCAATTTTGTCAACAATGTACTTAGTTTCAGTTTTCTTCCTAGTAAAAGTAGTATACACATTTCCATATTATTCTACATTTCCTTGTTATTCTTGACGATTATATTTCTTTAATTTTGGCGGTCGCTTTAGATCTGTTCTAAATGAACATCTTGGCCCGCAGGAAGGTAGAGCTCTTCTAAATGAACAACACGTAATTTCGTTACAGTTTAATAAACCAGACACAAGCGATTATTTAAACAAAAATTATTAAATAATTCTAATACAAAACAAGACCGACCCAGAATCCGAATGGCATCATCGGAATTGGGCCTAATCACAATTTACAATCAAACTTTAACGTTAAAAATAATGAAAAATCACCCCTATTTAATATGGTTATTCACTTTGGGGGGGTTTAACTTCTGCGGCCTGAAAAATATTTTAGTTTCTTTGATTAAAAGGTTCACAATCACCCCTTTCAATCCCCATGAAGGTATACACCGTCTCAGTTTTAATATTACATAATTTTTTATGAAAATCCCGCCTATTAAATACAGTCGTGTACTTGGAGGGGTGTAACTTCTACGTCGCGAACACTTTTTCTTATTAATTTTGGTGCGTAGAATCCAAAACAATTCGTACTTTTTCGATCGGACTTCTCAATCAAAAGTTATGGACTAGAAACCAATTTCGAAAGAAAATTCAAAGGGCTGTAACTGTGAACTAGTAGCCCAATCTTGGAACTGTTTGAAATTATGGATTCTACAGGCCCCAATCTTGGAACTGTTTGAAATTATGGATTCTACAGGCCACATTCTATAAGAAAATTTTTTTCCGGGTCGATCTGAGACAATTTTTTTTTCGGGGCTCAAAAAAAGGCAGTGTATAACCTTCCTTTTTTACCAAAAATCGACTGCACCAAAATTTCTCGGGAAAACACTTTTTCTTATTAATTTTGGTGCGTAGAATCCAAAACAATTCGTACTTTTTCGATCAGACTTCTCAATCAAAAGTTATGGACTAGAAACCAATTTCGAAAGAAAATTCAAAGGGCTGTATCTTTTGAACTAGTAGCCCAATCTTGGAACTGTTTGAAATTATGGATTCTACAGGCCACATTTCTATAAGAAAATTTTTTTTTTCGATCTGAGACAATTTTTTTTTTCGGGGCTGAAAAAAAGCGAGAAAAAAGGCAGTGTATAACCTTCCTTTTTAACCAAAAATCGACTGCACCAAAATTTCTCGGGAAAACACTTTTTCTTATTAATTTTGGTGCGTAGAATCCAAAACAATTCGTAATTTTTCGATCAGACTTCTCATCAAAAGTTATAGACTAGAAACCAATTTCGAAAAAAAATTCAAAGGGCTGGAACTTTTGAACTAGTAGCCCAATCTTGGAACTGTTTGAAATTATGGATTCTACAGGCCACATTCTATAAGAAAAATTTTTTCCCGGGTCGATCTGAGACAATTTTTTTTTCGGGGCTCAAAAAAAGGCAGTGTATAACCTTCCTTTTTTACCAAAAATCGACTACACCAAAATTTCTCGGGAAACCACTTTTTCTTATTAATTTTGGTGCGTAGAATCCAAAACAATTCGTACTTTTTCGATCAGACTTCTCAATCAAAACTTATAGACTAGAAACCAATTTCGAAAGAAAATTCAAAGGGCTGTAACTTTTGAACTAGTAGCCCAATCTTGGAACTGTTTAAAATTATGGATTCTACAGGCCACATTCTATAAGAAAATTTTTTTCCGGGTCGATCTGAGACAATTTTTTTTTCGGAGCTCAAAAAAAGGCAGTGTATAAACCTTCCTTTTTTACCAAAAATCGACTACACCAAAATTTCTCGGGAAAACACTTTTTCTTATTAATTTGGGTGCGTAGAATCCAAATCAATTCGTACTTTTTCGATCAGTCTTCTCAATCAAAAGTTATAGACTAGAAACCAATTTCGAAAGAAAATTCAAAGGGCTGTAACTTTTGAACTAGTAGCCCAATCTTGGAACTGTTTGTAATTATGGATTCTACAGGCCACATTCTATAAGAAAATTTTTTTTCCGGGTCGATCTGAGACAATTTTTTTTTCGGGGCTCAAAAAAATGCAGTGTATAACCTTCCTTTTTTACCAAAAATCGACTACACCAAAATTTCTCGGGAAAACACTTTTTCTTATTAATTTTGGTGCGTAGAATCCAAACAATTCGTACTTTTTCGATCAGACTTCTCAATCAAAAGTTATAGACTAGAAACCAATTTCGAAAGAAAATTCAAAGGGCTGTAATTTTTGAACTAGTAGCCCAATCTTGGAACTGTTTGAAATTATGGATTCTACAGGCCACATTCTATAAGAAAATTTTTTTTCCGGGTCGATCTGAGACAATTTTTTTTTTCGGGGCTCAAAAAAAGGCAGTGTATAACCTTCCTTTTTTACCAAAAATCGACTACACCAAAATTTCTCGGGGAAACACTTTTTCTTATTAATTTTGGTGCGTAGAATCCAAAACAATTCGTACTTTTTCGATTAGACTTCTCAATCAAAAGTTATAGACTAGAAACCAATTTCCAAAGAAAATTCAAAGGGCTGTAACTTTTGAACTAGTAGCCCAATCTTGGAACTGTTGGAAATTATGGATTCTACAGGCCACATTCTATAAGAAAATTTTTTTTTGGGTCGATCTGAGACAATTTTTTTTTCGGGCCTCATTTGCTAGCTACCTTCTTGTAGGAATATTATGCGTTTATTATCTCATTGATATAGGAATTATATGCGTATAGTAAAGTGGTGTTATATACGTGTATCAAACGAATGCTAAAAAACGGTTATTTATATACGTATTATCAACGTAGAACATGAACTCGTCGGTTTATAAAATGAATAAAAATCGTATTTTAAACGTAGGTAGAAAATTCGTCTACACAAAACGTATACCATACCATACCAATACCGAATTTATCCTATCAAAGCGTTTTTTTAAACGTAAGTATGTTTGGTGGGTGAGACTCGGTATAGAGAGGGGGNCAAAGGGCTGTAACTTTTGAACTAGTAGCCCAATCTTGGAACTGTTTGAAATTATGGATTCTACAGGCCACATTCTATAAGAAAATTTTTTTCCCGGGTCGATCTGAGACAATTTTTTTTCGGGGCTCAAAAAAAGGCAGTGTATAACCTTCCTTTTTTACCAAAAATCGACTGCACCAATATTTCTCGGGAAAACACTTTTTCTTATAAATTTTGGTGCTTAGAATCCAAAACAATTCGTACAATTTCGATCGGACTTCTCAATCAAAAGTTATGGACTAGAAACCAATTTCGAAAGAAAATTCAAAGGGCTGTAACTTTTGAACTAGTTGCCCAATCTTGGAACTGTTTGAAATTATGGATTCTACAGGCCACATTCTATAAGAAAATTTTTTTCCGGGTCGATCTGAAACAATTTTTTTTTCGGGCCTCAAAAAAAGGCAGTGTATAACCTTCCTTTTTTACCAAAAATCGACTACACCAAAATTTCTCGGGAAAACACTTTTGCTTATTAATTTGGGTGCGTAGAATCCAAATCAATTCGTACTTTTTCGATCAGACTTCTCAATCAAAAGTTATAGACTAGAAACCAATTTCGAAGAAAAATTCAAAGGGCTGTAACTTTTGAACTAGTAGCCCAATCTTGGAACTGTTTGAAATTATGGATTCTACAGGTCACATTCTTTAAGAAAATTTTTTTCCGGGTCGATCTGAGACAATTTTTTTTTCGGGGCTCTAAAAAGATCTCGATGGTATTTCTGAGGGAAGTACATGTAAAAGTTCATTTTTTCAAAAATCCAAAAATAAGTAGGTTTTTCGTATTATTGAGGCTGGGGCTAGATTATGTTTTTTTTAAGATTTCTGTATCTCCCTGTGAATACATTACATTTGTAAATTCGGAAACTCAGCATTCCAGTAACCCGTACATTTGAATACCTTGAATTTCCTTCACGTACCGAAATCTGAATTTTGGTGGGATGCTAAGAACAGAAAAAATAACTCTCAGACAACATTATGTGGTCTTCTAGTTTAAGATTCATGCAGTTGCAGAAAATTAGAACGTTTAGAGTTTCGTAATCTAGTGCACGCATTTCACATTTGTTGCTGATGTCACGTTTGGAATTTTCCGAGACTTCAAAAGGCAATTTTTGTCATACGTCAAAAATGAGCGCATTACGTGTCAATTTGTTAAAATACCAACTTGGAAATAAGCTGGTTTAGAATTTTTAGAAGCAATTAGCAAGCATTTTAGTAGGCAGTGTATGATTTGTTGCCTACTAAAGCAGGATTTTCTTTAGTTTGCGCGCACTTCATCAATTCTGCTTTTGAGGGAACATTGTAATGCCAACGTATTAACAAAAATCATTTCAAACCACAATAAACGTTGGAATTACGTATGTATGTTAGACTGATCAATGTATTTCACAGCGTATAGGTTTTTGAGACAGAGTGGTGCGTTATTTAAGAAATAAAACTAAACATCTTTAGTGAGAAGGGTTTTTTTCGTTTTCTGGTTACCTGTCAATCGAAATTGTCATATTTACCTTTAGAAAATCCTAAAAAAATAATGTATGTAAGAAACCAGTTAGCGATGTTGATGGTTTCACACAAGCAGCGATTCGAAACTCTATTTACGACGATGATCTAACACAGTTAAGCTAAAACATACATTGAATGTTCCTCAAGAAAGGGTGTTGCGAATAGTGCTTTCCACTACTAAAAATAGAATCCAAAAAAAGGTTTAATGGATTGTTTTTGTTAATTTAGTTCCAGTAATTGTATGGGCTATGCCAGGGTTTTTGTCCCGAAGAAGGTTTCCCTGACACCGCCTGGTTGCGTGCGTGATATGTGCTCTCGTCTTTTCTTACGCAGAAAATTATGAGATTTTATTCAACTTCCTGTCCCATTTGTGCATAAAAGGAACCGCCAGTTTTATCATCGGCTGCTATTCCAAAGTACCGCCCAACGTCCGTCGTTTAGTATGGTACGGTTGCTATGTTAGTGAGTATGGGGTAAGTAAAGATTGCAGGCGCTTCTCGGCTTCCGCTGCTAAGCAGTGCAGGCGTTGTTATTACAAAAAAAATCAATTAAAATGTTTTTTTTATTTTTCTTTTACGTCCAAATAAATAATGTCCACCTTTTTAGTCGCAGACATAGACAACCTGTTACAAATAACTACAAAAACATTATTTTAGTAATTGGTCAACAAAAGTCGTTGATGTAATGGGTATCCTACCAACAATGCAGCATTGTCTGTATGGCTGCCTACATTAACATACACAATATTCTGATGACATACGCGAAAACTAAGGAAAATCCTACTATATACTGAATTTTGCTCAAATTTTGCCTAAAAAGTTGAAGTATTTGACGATTCGTCCAAGAGCTTTCTTGAAAAATGTGTTGTGTCAATTGCACTGTATTTTTTATGCGAACTTCTGTAATGGAAGATTGAAAATGTGTATTTTACTTTCTCCTTCCTGAACCGTAATAAATTCTCGTGAAGGGAAGATAATACTTTACTATTACTTTCAGACAAAACCCCTGACAGTACTATGCGCTATTCTAATTTGGGTCCTCGCGACTATTTTCGCCCTGCCCGACGCAATCCTGTCTGCGGTGGAATACGTACCCCTGGATAACAATAAAACGATAATAGTTTGTACTCCATTCCCCGAGGCAGTCTACGGGCCGCGCAACGCTAAATATATGGTGCTTGGGAAAGCGCTCGTTTATTACATACTCCCCCTATGCATAATAGCGTGCTTTTACGTACTGATGGCTAAGGAATTGCATGTCAGCGCAAGAGAGATGCCCGGCGAATTACAGAGCGGGCAAGGTATCGCTCAGGCAAGAGCGAGAAAGCACGTAGCGAGAATGGTGCTGGCATTTATTATAGGTAAATAAATTCGTCCCAATACCAAAGAAATAAATTGATATTTTCAGTTTTCTTTGTATGCTTCTTTCCCCATCATCTCTTCATGCTGTGGTTTCACTTGAATCCGAACGCGGAAGAGGAATACGACGACTTCTGGCACGCACTGAGGATAATCGGATTTTGCCTCAGGTACCTCTCCACTTCGTGTGTCGTAACTCTAACTTCGAATTTCAGCTTTTTAAATTCTTGCGTGAACCCAATTACGCTGTACTGCGTCAGCGGCGTTTTCCGCCAGCATTTCAATCACTATCTATGCTGTCGCAGCCCTCGCCGGTTACAGAGGGCTCTACCGTCGAACGTGAACTGCGAGACGAGCTTCAACTCCACGTACAGGAGACACACGCAGGTAAAGGCTGCTCCAGGTTTTCTCACATCCGAACGTTGCACACTGTTACAGTTCTTTGTTAAAGGGCACGACGCTGGACAGTCAGAGCATTTATAGACGGAACACCCTCGCGCGCCAGAATACCCAGGACACCACCGTAATTGCGTTCGACACTCCCTGCAAGAAGGAAGCCAATAATTTCGAGATTAACCACCAGAAGGTGGGAAGCTTCGGTACTTGAGGGCAGACGATACTGAAACATAAAAAGGTTATGTTTAGTGAAAGTAGGTTCTAGTTAATTCTGGAGAAAGAAGCCTGAAAGGGTAAGTGCTGTGTCGAAATTTAAATTTTGTAGAAGTAGATCATAAAAGGGGGCCTATGATTATTAAATCCCTTCGACGTGTTTCAGGGGGAGTATTGATTAATTTACAGACCAAGTGCAGTTAAGGGAAATAGGGACTGAAGAGTTTTAAAACAACAAATATCCCCGGTTATCAATAGCGCAAAAAATAAAGTCAATCAAAGCCCTCCTACTAATCGGAATTGTGTATGTGAGTGGGCTTTTCCCACTTGAAAATAAACGGCCTTGCTACGAATTAGGCTAACTTCAGTTCCAACAAAATTAAACTTGCAGGTCACACATCTGATTCCAATTAGCGCGTCTTAACGTCGCGAATTGAAAAATGGCAGCAACGTGCTTGTTTAGAATCATTTTCACTCAAAACAAACCTCGTAAAATCTTATCCCTACTAGATAAACTTTTATAAAACAAAATGGTACGTAGCAGCTCGCGAAGTTATCTGGCATTATCGCAATGAAAATAAAATTTTCACTCACAAACAATACGTCTTTTGTTCACGTTCGCTATGAAGCGGTATATGTGCAAATTTTCCTATGTTAAACCAAATTCAAATTTGAAAACAGCTAAGCGGCCACCTGTTACAGGATATCCATATTTCCGAATCTCTAAAGGATTTTACGAATGCTTAACGGATCGTTCGAGAACTATTAGAGATTCACGAATCAAGAATATATCTAAATTGCCCGAGAATTCTTTAACGGTCTTTGAGTAATAGTAATCTTGAAAGGATTTTCTGATTCAACTTCACAAACCTTATTGAAGTGTTCCAAAAGAATCATTAAAGGATTAAAGGTATTGCAGTAATCTTCTTCTTTTTCTCCACATAATCTACCTTTCCTTCTTTCCGCTTCTCTCCACTCTTCCCTTCCTATCTCCTCGTTTCTACATCCGAACCTTGTAATTATTTTACTGTTGTTCTTTCCCTCTGTTGGATACCTTTGCACCCCCTGTACCTTTCGTTTCCTCTCAAATTCTCGATCCGATGACTCTCCGCAGCTGAACTTGTACATCATTGTCCTTCCACCATTTCCTCTATTTCTCTCCTCCTTTCGACCACTGTCCCCCCGCATCCATTTCTTTCGTAATCCTTTGTTCCGACCAAATCCCTTTTGTGTTCTTCTTCTTTCACCAATTCACTTTCCGTTTCTCTCTTTTCCTCAAATCTCTTTGCCCTGCGTCCCGACTCTTTCCTAATCTTCTCCATTTTTATTGCCCCTAATATGTAATTTGGTTTTCACAGTACCAATTTGTAGTACTTTGTTTGTATTCTTTCTAATTCAACCCCATACCTCCGTTCCATACATGAACATTTCGTCAAAAAGGTGTTTTCTTAATTTGAAAACTTTTTTGAAATTCCTTTCTCCTATTCCCCACTCCTGTCTCATCGCCACTTCTCCCTTGTTCCTTAACTCCCTTATTTGTACATTTGCCCTATTATTACGTTGCATCTGGTGTCTTAAGCATTTAAATTCTCTTACTTCCCCTACTTTTTCCTATTTCCACTTCCATTCTATCACTCTTTCTCCATCTCCCCCCTTCATCTTCAATTTTTCGACATTTCATTTCATTCCTTTTCTTTCCCAGTACCTTTCCATTACTTCTTTCATCTATATGCGTACGTCAGGGACCATATCATCCTTCTTCCCATCGCAATCGTCCACTTTGGCCCTGTCTTAATATTTTCTCCCTATACCTTATGTAGAAATTAAATACGGTGGAGCTAAGTGGGTATCCCTGTCTCAATCCTTTTATTGTCCAGAACACTTGAGACTCCTTCCCTCGTTTCTTTACCCTAATTTTTCTCTCTCCATATAAATCCTTAATTCAGTTCTCCAAATTTTTGTTTCCTCCATCATTTCCCATACTATTTCCTTTTCTACTATGTCAAACACTGCCCTTCACGTTCCGCCTTTCTTCCAATTCCTTTTGCAATACTCTGTGTAACACAGTATACAGTGTATACAGTCCATCGTCCCCTTCCCTTTTCTAAAATCCATTTAAGTTTCCTCCAACATCTTCTTCTCTTCCATTTCTCTTTCTAATCTTACATTCAGTACCATTCCTTAAATTCTATACAATGTCGTGATGATCCAGACTCCCCTGTAATTTTCCATGCAGTTCTAGTCACCTCTTTTGTGCATAGACACTATTACACCTTCCTTATTCTTCCGGTAGTCCTCCTTCTTTCCATTTTTTAAGTGTTGCTCCACCCCCTCCCTTCCGTCATCCTCTTTCTCCTCTTTACCTAGTAGTACCTTCAAAAAGTGCTACTTCCAGTCCTCTATTTATATTCCTCTTCTACTAAATGTGTTTTCCCTGTTCTTCCAAAAGTCCTTCCCTGTTTTATTTTCTCTGATTTCTTCTTATATCTTTCTGTTTATATCTATCTATCTAGGGGCAATTAGGGTAATACCGGCCAGTGGGTAATCCCGGCCACCCTCATATCTAGATTTCTGTAGCAGATTTCTGTAATTTGTATTGCCATTTGGTTGTAAAGAAGGTCACTATAACATATTCAACAAGTAGTTTAGATGTCAAATGCGAATTGGCGCCAATATAGCGTAAAGAGTGAGTAACAGGTTAACGTTATAATCTTTTGCATCCAAAAACTAAGGTAAGCCATTGAACTATTTTATTTTTGGAGTTGTATTTTATTGTGAATGAAGCTTCTGATCATGCCTGAACACTACACAGTGTTAATAGCACTTAATAAATGACATTGTTTGATGCAGGTTAGAATTTCATTCGTGCATGCAGATGGGGAAATACCGGCCGCAATGGCCGGCATTAACCGACATTGGCCGGCATTACCCCGTTGATTTTATTTCGCTACAAATATTGTGGAATTGATTTGCAGAATGCCCAGAAAGTACGTTAGGGTCACTGAGAGAACTAGATGGGATGAGAATGATATGAAAAGAGCATTAAAGGCGGTAAATGACCGTAAATTAGGCGTTCGCAAAGCAGCGAAGCAGTTCAACGTGCCTTATTCCACCTTATGGGACAAATTAAAACAAGGATCTTCTACAGCTAGGATGGGACGTCGTACGGTTTTTACTATGGAGGTTGAATTACAAATCGCCGATCACGTTAAAATGTTGGCAAGTATGTTTTATGGTTTAACTAAATTAGAGCTAAGACGCGCATGTTACGAATTTGCCGAAATCAACCAAATCAAACATCCTTTCAACAAAGAAAGGAAACTGGCTGGAAATGATTGGTATTATGGCTTCATACGTCGACACAGTGGCATATCTTTGCGAAAACCGGAACCAAAATCTTTGAATAGAATAAACGCTTTCAATAAAATTGATGTTCAGAAATTTTTTGAGAACCTAAAAATAGTTTACGAAAAACATAAATTTCCGCCAGAGAAAATATTCAATGTCGATGAGACCGGCATCACAAATGTTCACGTGCCTCAAAAAGTTCTAGCCGCAAAGAAAATGAGAAGGTTGGGGGCCATTACAAGTGGAGAAAGGGGCAAAAACATTACGGTGGTGTGTACCATGAGTGCATCCGGAGGATACGTTCCCCCGTTATTCATATACCCAAGGCAACGGCTGCCACCACATTTATGCAAAGATGGACCCCCTGGGTCGATTTACAGGTGCTCAAAGTCTGGGTGGATGACGGAAGATTTATTTTACGACTGGTTGGTTCATTTCTCAAAACATTCCCATCCTTCTGTAGACAGCCCGGTGCTGATCATCATGGATAACCATACGACGCACACAACATTGAAGGCTTTTGAATTCTGTAAGGAAAATGGGATCGTTGTTGTGTCCATTCCTCCACATACTTCCCATCGGCTCCAGCCGTTGGATGTCACATTCTACGGCCCACTAAAGACCGCATACAATCAAGAGTGTGGCTCGTTTTTGAAAGTGAATTCATATGAGAAAATTTTACAAGAAAATGTAGCGTCATTATTTACAAAAGCCTACAACCGTGTGGCGACAATTGAGAAGGCAGTGAAAGGTTTTCTCTCAACTGGAATATTTCCTTTTAATGAAAATATATTTCCTGAGGAGGAATACACCTTGTCCCAAGATCAAGATCAACTCCAGGATCCTCCTATAGGTGATGATGAGCATCAATTTAGATCAGCTACACCCGAGAATGTAATTCATGATGGGCCTTCTACTTCAGGATTACCACAAAAACCTCCCGCTTTAAAATATAAAAAACGACGCAGTTCTTCCGATTCTGACAGCAGCGCCATCTTAGAGGAAAAGTCGGATGATGAAGATTTTACTACTGACAAGACTATAGTTTGGCCTATATCTAAAATTAGTCCTGTTCCATTAAAAAAACCATGTTTAAGGGCAAAAGCAGTCCAAAAAAAGAACTCCATTATATTTACCGCCACCCCTAATAAGGTAGAGTTAGAAGAACGCGAAAGAAGACGTAAGAATAAGGAAGAGGTCGACAAGAGAAAAACGGTCAAAGTACGTCTAGAAGCAAGGTCAAAAACCTCCACAGAGACCAAAAGTAAGACTAAATCCAAAACTGTCATTTACACGGAATGTAACATACAAGACAACTCGTGTATGTTTTGCAGTGAATTTGGAAAAGATGGTGAATTGTGGTATGCTTGCACCAGTTGTGGAGAATGGGCGCATATGCAGAATGCACCGATGTAGAGAAGCCAGAGGGTTATACTTGCGACAAATGTCGCTAAAACTAGTGATCGGTATTACCCTACACTATGATCGGCATTCCCCAATCGCGTGGGGTAATGCCGGATTTGCAACAATTCTAGAATATTTTTTTTGTTATTTTTATTATTTAAGAAATGCGCCCATTAATTTTTTTCTATGACTGTTGTTGTATTCACTTCAGTTTAAGCATAAATATATATTTTTTTCACTTGCTATTTTTTATTAAAAAAAAGTATTTCCTTAGGTGACCGCAATTCCCCCACTTGCCCCTATCTTAAAATCTTCTATTGCTTCCAAAATGTTTCCGTTTATTAGTACGTAATCTATTACCGACCTCCATTGTCTCTCCCTCTTTTCATTTCTACTCCCTTTATCGTTATGATGTTCTTTATTTTCTCTCGTTCTTTCTCTTATTTCCTTCATTGAATTAGTTGATCCTTTCTATAAGTCGTCATTTTTCCTTATCCGAGTGCTCTTCCCTTCTCCTCATTTCGTTCCTTAATCCTCCCCATTTCCTACGTTGTCTACTGGTTTATCAATTTATTCATTTGTCTCCTTAGTTGACCGTCTTACTTTCTCCTTGACATCCTCCATCCATTTATCCAATACTCTTTTCATGAGGTCCGTTTCCTCTCCCCTCAGTTCACTCCCCCCCCTCCCGTTAACTCAAACCACTATCTTCTTTTTATTAGCCTCCGCTTTGCTTTGTTCCGGTAATCTGAAGGCACTCTTCCTCGTTTACCTCTTCCTTCTTTTTACTATCCTCATTCAGCCCCGTCTGCGCTAGGGAATTGCCCGCTTCCGCAGCTCGGAGGCATTCGCCCCTCCCATGTATGTGTATTGGTCATTCCGATCTCTCCTTTCTATTAATTTCAGCGACAACTCCCCCTCTTTTTTGCATTCTTTATATCTTGACTTTTTATCTTATGTTCCACTTCCCATCTCCAGCCAATTTCCTTCATTCCCCGTTTTTCCTTTCATCTATCATATTTTCTAATTTATTTTTTAACTCGTCTTTCTTGTATGCCCTCTTTTTCTTTCGTTTCATTCTTCCATTCCCTTATATCCTTTCTTATCCCTGTTACAAACTCCCAGAATTGTACGCCTTTACTTGCTGTCATCAGAATAACACCTTCATTTTACCCATCGCGCTTTTCATTCCGCTTTGCGCCATTCTTCTGCTGTATTTACCTCTCCCTATCTTCTCTGTTGCGGCTAAAAATCTTCCCCTAAATAACGTTCTTCAGTTCCCCGATCTCTTACTCTCTGCTCTCGCTAATTCCTTTTTTGCGTTACTCCAACTGTATTTCACCATTCTCTTATAATATCTTTCCCTTGCCTCTTTTGTCCTCCACTATCTCTCTAAAGTCTCTCTGTGCCCTTCCTTCTTCATAAGTCAATTTGTCATCTATGTAAATCCTGCTCCCTTTTAACTTTTCCTTAACTCTCATAACTTTCCACGGCTTTTCCTATGTTAATTTCGCGATTATTACTATATTTCCCCCTACTTCAATTGTTCTCGCGTCCTCTACTTGTATTTTTTCTTTTGGCCATTCCTCTTATCTCTTTCTTTTTCTTCTTTTCCAGCTCGGTTTTCTTTATCGTTATGTTGTTCTTTATTTTTTCTCTCAGTTTCTTCTTCGAATTTGTTTATCCTTTCTATAAGTTCTTCTTTTTTTGTATCCCATCTTTCTTCAATTCTCTTCATTTCCTCTGCTTCTCTTTAATTTTTTTAATATGCTCATTTGTCTCCTTAGCTGCCCTCTTACTTCCTCCTTAACATCCTCCATCCAGTTTTCCAATCCTTTTTTATGCGGTCCGCTTCCTCTCCTTTCAGCCTCCGCTTTGCTTGCTCTTGCTCCTCCTACGAGTAAATACCTCAAACCACTCTTCCTTTTTTATTCCTTTCTTCTTCTTACTAGCCTCATTTATTTCCGTATCCGCCAGGGGCTTACCCGCTTCAGCAGCTCGGAGGCATTCGCCCCTTTATATATATTATAGATTTTTAGTTCGTTCTTTTTGCATTCGGTAGCTTATAGCTCTGGCACCTCAACAAAAATAATCTTGACGATTAATATAAAATAAATTAATAATTAATGTCAACTTTTTTATTTATAAAGATATTTGTTTTAAATTTTAACGAAAGATTCTTCTGGTAAAGGCAAACATATCGCATATTTTAAACAGCAGCAGAAAAATCCTTTAGTGGGTATTAAACATACGAAGGGTCTCAAAAAAGTTATGAAAAATGTTGAATCTTTGAAAATTATACTTAAAAAGCGTTTGAACTCTTTGGATTATTTGAAGAATTTAGGAAGAATTTTTCAAAATCTCTCATGAATGTCTAAAAATTTTGCCCTTTTTAATAAACGGTTCTAATCCCATTTCCCAAGCGGATCTAGAAATAAAAGAATAATGATGCGTTTAAAATACACAATTTTGAAAATATTTACAATGTTGCCAATTATTTTATTAAATGTTACTATCCATTATAGTTAAGATAAATTCGCTTAAGGTTTGCTTCAGACTTAAACGCTATTACACAAGCTGTTACATAAATTTTGAAACGATCACAGTACAAATGACCTACCAGATCTCCAAATCCCCATCCGAAATTCAAACGTCGACACGCTGCAAATTATATTTTTACGAGGAAACCGCATCTTAAAACCGTTTGCTCTACATCACCCACTAAAATACATAAGAAAACGCTCTTACCGCTAAAGTATACGCCATTTCATAAATGGTTTCGGAGGCCGAGGTTTGTGTAAAAATTGAATAAAACATGAGCGCTATTTTATATCTGCCAACAAAATTCTTGCCTTTTATTGCATTTACACATTGTGAGAAGAAAGCGCCAAAACGTAATTTGTAAGGGACGTTCGTATTCCACCAAACATTTTTTTTGTGAGATCGAATGGAGGAGAATTGCAAATTTATTGTTTGTATATAGATCCATTGTAAATATTTGCAAGTATAGTGCCAGAATAACTTGTTGCTGATACCTTTCTAAGAAAAATATAGAAGCTACCTTGGTTACCTTTATACATCAATTTTGAATACTTGTACTTCAAAGGCAATCGAAGAGCTTTTCAATATAGGGCTTTTTATTAGCTGTTGATGGTTGCGTGTGTTTATTTTTATGTCTTTGTACTGTTTCCCGTTTAAAGCACTACATTAGAATAATATCAAGATGAAATTAGAGAGACACAAGAAATAACTACCTTATAATGGGGATACTGAATTTATTTATTATAGGCAATAACTACAAAGAAAACTCGCATTTTTTTTTTAATTTTAACTACCGATCCATACCGAACGGAACTGAATTAGGCCTGAGATAATTATTATGTGTTAGTGTTTAGGAAAGGCACATATTTATAAAGTAATCATATCGTTTTGGTTTGCATTCATTACCTATTGTATTCAGATAATAGTAATTAACGCACGCCCGAATGTATTCATTTGTACAGTTAGCTTCGGGTAAAACTGAAATTCCATTTCTACAATATCCGTATGTGTCTATTATTTTCCAATAAACGAGGTTTTTCCTGACGAAAACTGCTATGAAATGGAGGCGAATATCGAAAATTACAAGTTAAACAATAGAAAATAATACAAAGGCAGCGTAGGCCGTGCGAGTAGTGCAAATATATTAGATCCCTTGCTTTATGTAACGTATAAACCTTTAACAAACAAAGAAGTAATTGAAAGCTCCAAATTCCTGCAGACAAAAAATGAGATTCTCATTATGGACCACCCATCCATTCACTTCCCGTATTGATCACTTGAATTAATTACTACTTGTCCACCCCAACCCCTTCTCAGTAACGTAAATGATCCGTTTGATATTTAATTCTTACGTGCTAATCAATTTCGATCAAAATTCATTTGAACGCGTCTCTGGTCGATTTGCATAATTCCCTCTTTAAATTCTTTTTCCGCGTTTCAAAAATAGAGTGGAAGTTTTTATTTATGTAAATCGCGCGGGAATTATCCAACCCCCATTTTATGTTTTGCGTAATGTATACAGACCGATGCTTTTAGTTGCGCTTAGTGCTAGATTTATTTTTCCCATGTGGCTTATATTTATAATTCGCGAGTACCCTTATTTTTGCAGAGCAACCCGAAGAGGAAGCAAGATCGACTGGGAACCAGACTTTCTCATTGTATAAGTGTTTCTAAGTGTTCCACTTTGTAAAAATTGTTAATAGATAAACGAATTTTGTAACGGGACGGTTATGTAGAGAAAGGGGAAAACGCATGTGCTTCAAAGTAGTAAAAGATTGCGTTGTCTTAACAATTACATAGTATTTTTGTACTGTTTTAACATATCATCCTTTTTCAATTTCAAGGTGTTTGGGGACCAGACCATTGCATTGGACCATTTTAAATTCTACTCTTCTATTGGTCCCTTTTAATGTAAATGTAAATATGAATCAATTTCTAAGACTATACCTAATACTTGTTTCAAGGGTCATTGTAAATCCATGATTTGTAACAAAATGATGACTGATGTATAAATATTTTGTTATAAGCTTTTCTTTATTATCATCCCTCAATAATTTACCCTTAATAAGCTCTAAGAAGTAAGTATATTTCTCATCTCAATAAAAAAAAGTCAACCTGACCTAGCCGTCTAGTCAACTCTCTATTTAAATATAACGTTAAAAGGCATCCCAGATGAACAAAGGGCTAGAAATGGTTGGATCCGTTCCATTTTATCTTGCTTAAACTGTTTTTCGAAAGTCAACAACGGAACCATCACGTCTGCAACTATTTACGTAATTACGGTAAGCTGCCGGACCGTAAACTAGACCAAAGCCTATAGTTCGCATTGGTCACGAATAGTTTGGAAAGTAATTCAACCCCCATTACGCGTTGGAAACGATCACAAGCCACATTGAAAATTAACATGTGTGCAATACAAGGAAGTTTCCCTACTTAAAGTTACGGTAGTTTGAATGGGGAGTAGTTGCTATAGAATTTTACTGCTAACATTTGTTTAATAATTGAATGCCTAAACGATTTTACGTTGTTCGATTTTGTTTTCAAGGAATAATTGAACCAAAACAAGTTGATAGTATATTTTAAAGCTTTGCTCCAACCATGCTTATCTCCAAACTGGGGGTGTACGACCAAAACCCTATTTTAACTACAGGAACTAAAAGACACGCATCCCCCCACCCTCTACCAAGCTTTATTACCCCTAACTTTAAACGCATTTTGTGAAACTGAAGAGGAATCTCAGGGGAATTCGTAACTTCCAAAATTTTTATGATTTTATTATTCTGCATCGCCCTTAAAGTGATGGATTGAAGCAAGCCAAAAGCTTTACTGTGTGCCACTATTTGGTTTAAAATAATTTAATTTCTTTGATTGCTTGAACTTTGTGGTCCACCGGAAGCCACATACATTTTTATTCTGACGTGAAAAATACGCTCGCTATTACGAAGAAACATTTGCGAAGATTTAGATGCTGAGGCGAATACGCAAAACACATTACGCGCGCTTGTGTGTCAGGTTTCATAACACATCGTAGGCCGATATCCTTTTTTTAGTGGGTTAACAGTAAAAGAGAAAAAAAGGGAGGGAGTAGGAGAAAGAGAGACATACGAACAGCAGAAGAAAAGAACAAAGCGGAATGAGTAAAATAAAGATTTTGTTCTGGAATGTGGCCGGAATGGCAAGTAAAGACGTACAATTCTGTGAGTTTCTAAGAAGATAACATAAAGAGCAGAACAAAAGGAGACATTTTTAACAAGGGTAAGAAAAGATATAAAAAAACGAGGGAACGAAACGAAAGAGGAAGAAGGCATACAGGAAAAAAAGAAGAAGAGGAAGGGAAGAGGCTGAGAGTGATAACGATATATAACAGACAAGGAATGAAAGTGAAGGTGGATATTTAAATTCCAAAATTGGGAATAAAGGACATTGGTTTGAAATGGGAAGACGAACTCAAGATAGGAAGTCAAGGGATAAAGTATGCAACAAAGAGGGGCAGTTGTTACTGGCATTTACAAATAAAACAGGTTGGAGAATATTAAACGGCAATATGGAGGGAGCTCGGGGTTCGTAATTGATTCCATACTAGTAAATGGAAAATTTTGGAAGCAATAGAAGATTTTAATGTAGGAACAAGGACAAAATCGGATCACCAACCGATTGAATTAAGACTAACAGGGAAGGCAAAAAAAGCAAGAAAAAAAATTGAGACATGAAGAAAGATACAGTTATGGGCACGGTGAAAGGTTGTAGGACATTAGAGGGGCAAGTATGAAAAAGAGAAGAATAAAGCACAAGGATAGGGGTGTACTGAACCGACAAACAGATACAGAACAATGGAAAGGGTGAGATAAAGGATAAGATGAAAGAACATAAAAAATTACAAACGAATATGTAAGTGAAAAAAAATGGAAGAAACAGGAAGAATGTGAAGAAGAAATCAGGGAAATAAAATCAGAGAAGAACTCCTGGAAGATGATAAATGGGACAACACATTTAGTGGGACAGAAATACGAATAGAGGACTCAAAGCAACACTTCATAAAGATAGTACAAGGAAAGCAGGAGGAAGAGTGTGACATAGAGGAAGAGGTGGATGGAGACGAGATATTAAGAGAAGAGATGGAGCAATAATTAAAGAAACTGAAAGAAGGAAAAGCGGCAGGGGGGCGATTTTCTCTACAAATAATATTAAGGAGAAGCTTAGGGAACTAATAAGCAAGATATCGAAATGGGGAGAACTACCGGAAGAATAGAAGGAAGGGGTAGTGGTGCCGATTTGCAAAAGAGGTGACAAGGACTGTATGCAAAATGGAAACGCAAAGAAGAGGATGTTCGAAGAAACACAGTTGAGCTTTAGAAAAGGAAGAGGAATGCTCAATTGTATAGTATATGTATTACACAGAGTGGTTGAAAAGGAACTTGGAAAAAAAGGACGAAAAGGTTTTTCATGGATCTAAGCGCAGCGTTTGAGGGACTAAAAAGGAAAAAATATGGAAAATGGTGAAGGATGGAAAATAGAACAGAATTAGGGGGTTTTATAGACAAGAAGTAGAGTAAGGATAGGAGGGAGAGAGTATAAAATGTTCTGGACGGTATAGGGATTTAGACAGGGATGCTAACAGCCCAGCCCTATTTAATTTCCACAAAACGGATATGGGAAAATTTTGACAGGGTCAAAGTGGAAGAATCACGATGGGAAGAAGGAAGATATGATCACTGGCTCACGCGGATGATAAACTATTTTGTGGGAACAGAGGAAAAATAGATGAAAGAAATGATGGTACGAATAGAGGGGTACTGCGAAAGAAAAAGAATGGGATTAAATATTGAAAAATTAAAGGTGATGAGGTTTGTAGACAGGTGGAATGAAAGTAGGGGGAGGAAAGGATAGAGGAAGTAAGACTGTCTTTGCTGAACACGCGCTATCTACAAGCGTTTAAGTTAGGCGCTTCGTTACCAAGTAGTTCTGTCCATTTTGCAAGATTTACCGTTCCTGTAAGAGTATTTAAAGTGACTTTAGAGCCGCCGAAAACGAAATTTAAAGCGAACATTTGAAATGCATGCAAGTTAGACGTTATCAGCCTGATAACACCGACCCGACGAATGATCCCGACATTCCAATTAAGTATGAGTGTTAGTGGAATACCGATTCTCGAAAGCCGTCTATTGCCTTCGCATCTTCGCAAGCTACGTTTTGTAAGTATCGAAATTTTGGTCTTTTAACCGTATTTAAATCTTTGTCCCTTTTGCACTTTCGCCAGCTCTCAAAAGATCTTCATGAGTTTTTATTAAACTTTCTTCTAAAACTACTTTTCGTTTTAACATCTTCGGCTTGCTCTCCTACTTCCTCCAACTTTTTAAAAATGATTAGTTGACTCCTCATTCTTCCCTCTTCCTTAATTTCCTTTTATCTTGTTTTAAATCTTCAAATGTTTTGGTTAATTAATTAATTAATTAAATTTATATGCGGTTGGCTTCTTTGAATCTTCCGATCTCCCCCCCTCTCTTCTTGCTTCTTGATTTCTTGAATTGGAATTAATTCTTGGTCTTTCTCGAATCCGTTCTAGAATATTCGTTTACTTCGATATCATATTTATTTCTCCGGGTTCTCCGATTCGAAATTCTACAGATAATTTTCCATACCTTAAATGAAGTTAATTGGGTGGAATGCCCAATTTGAACTCCTTGTAGCACTTTAGGTACCTTGCATTTTGTGTGGTGTTTTGTGCCTTTTTTTGTCTAGTGTCCCTCGTATAATATTCAGGTAGAAAACACGACGGACAAACACAGACGGACGGACAGAAAGTTCAAATGAGCAAAATTTAACCAGTTAGTCCCGTTACCATTGTCTACCTGAAAACAGAATTGGAAAATTCGAAACCGTTCGCGAGTTATCATGTACAGACCGGACGGGCAAAAGGTCTAAAATCATCAACGAGCTCGGTCGCTCGTTAATAAGTGGCTAAGTCTTAGAGAAAAGCGATATTTTAAACTTTTTTTCATTTCAAAATTTATTCCATCTATTTCACTTTTTTTTCATTTCAAATATTTTTCAAAATTATGTGTAAAAAATGACCCCACACGTTTTTGACGGAATTACATGTTTTAAAGTACCAGGAATCCGAATCAAATAAAATCTCAATGATGTTGATCGGTCTGTCGGTCCGTTGATCTGTCGGTCTATCTGTCTGTCTGCCTGTACTCTCATTTCCGGCTAAACGGGTGAACCGATTGGAACCAAATTTTGTACATATATTCGTCACAGCAAAAAATTACATATATAGTCCTAGTCCTTTTGAGAGTTTTAAAAGAACACAACGAAATTGAAATGTTCTACCTTTTAGGTACATTTCGGTGGATGGGCGGACAAACACTTACCATGTACCCTTAAAAAAAAGTTCAAATTTGCATACTTAAAAAAAAGCAATTTAAAAATAGAGGTATCTACTAATCTACCCTTATTCAAAAATTCCGAGTTTGCAGATCGAAGTAGTGAAAACCAGCCCTTCGTGGTGAAAAATTACGAGTTACCACTAGGAAATATGTCATGATAAATTGGCATTTCAACTACTCTAATTGGTAATTTTTCATTCTGCAATAATGAATCTCTATATAACAAGATCTGAAGCCATTTTCATTATTGTTAATTGCATAATTGCAAAACCTGTTTGCGCTCTCCCTTACTCCCATTATGGGTTTTAGGACGAGATCCTGTAAGGTTATATTAGAGCCCTAGTGCAGATTACCAAAACAAAACGAACCCCTTGCTTTCACCCATCAATATGTAAATGTTAGGCAGGTTAGAGAATCGCAAGGACTTTGGTCTACTTAGACATCAATTTTGGGTGGAAAAACGCCAAAGCGGTACTGTTTCATTCATGAATTTGGCATTGCTTAGCTTCTCTGATATTCCATATTGAAATTGTTTAAAATTTCAGTTTCCTT